GCATATATGGGCGTGGGGTGGGGGCGGGTGGGATGGGGTGGGGGTTGGAAGGAGCCCGGGTGGTGGCGGGGGTACGACAGGTACGGGGCCGGGGCCGGGGACGATAAACCCTCTGGTTGCGGATAGCGGGGGAGGGGGAGGGGCCGGGTAGAGCAACCACTACAACCACCACAACCGCCGCAACCACAATAACCACCACACTCACCGCAAACGGAGTCCATTCGGTTATCTGAAGGTTCCTCCATGGGCCGTGTGCATAACCGTAAAAGCAATTTTAGTTGTACGTTTTGCTGGCACCGCTACTGCTGCTGCTGCTGTTACTACTGCTACTGCTACTGCTATTGCATCACAGCCCTGGGCAAGAGGTTGGATGCCACCCTTCAAAACCTTGGACTGAAGCCCCCGGGTGCTGAGGGGGCAGGTGGCTCGCCGGCTGGTTCCCCCGCCCCGGGAGCGCCCCCGGGTGGTGGACCGCTGTCGGGGCGCCTGTTCCTGGAGGGCCGCCTGGCGGGCAGTGTCACCCGGCCGGAGGTGGGGGGGGGGGAGGGGGGAGGGGCGGAGGGGAAGAGGGGAAGAGAGGGGTGGAGAGGATGGAGGGGGGAAAAGAGGGGGTCATGCTACGGCTGCTACTGCTGCCGCTGCTGTCCGCTACAGCTGTTGTTACCGCTGCTACTGCCAAAACCCGCTACTGCCGCTACTGCCGCCCTCTCAGGCTTCTGTAAGGATGCGGGTGGAGGATGGAGCCATCGGAGGGGCGTTACTCGGCAGGGCGCAGGTCGGTTAAGAGAGGGTTCAGGGTTTTAGGGTTTTTAAAGTTTTAGGGTTTTACTTCAGGGTTATAAGGTTTTAGGTTTGAAGGAAGTGCGGACGAGCGAAGTTGAATTGGGTTTTGAGTACGCGCCAACGGGGGGAAGGTGGGAGAGTGGGATGATGGTGATGGCGCACATCGAGAGGTGAAAGAGCAGGTCCGTACGGCAATACACAGCGGGCAGGTAGTGGGCGAGCCGTGGGGGTGTGGGTGGATGTGTGGGAAAGAGGCCGTGGGGGTGTTCCTCAGGCTCCTCCCAACCCACCTCACCCGCACCAGCCGACGGTCCATCACCCCTATCGCCCGCCATAACGCATAGCTGGCTCTGGCTGTGGCGGTGGCTGCGGCTGTAGCTGTAGCTGTAGCTGTGGCTATGGCTGTGGCTGTGGGTGCTCCACAATCCGCAATTCCGTGGCTGTTCCCTTCCTCTCAACATCCCCTCTTTTAAACTAGTTATAGTCCCCCCTTCTTTGTTTACCCCGATCCCGAATCACCCGCGCCGGAATTAGCCGAACCCATGTTTGACTATTTCCGACACCCCGTGGCTAAATCTCTTGGCCTGGTGCTTTTTGGTGTATGTATGTATGTATGTGCGTCTGTACGGTCACACGTCCGCAAAAGGCCCTGTTGGAGGTCGATCCGCAACATCGCCTCCACGTGGATATAGATGTAGCGCCGCGCGGTGCAAATCCGCGAAGTGCTACAGCCCCCGTACTCGCTACCGTAACGGCCGCGGCGGAGGCGGCGGCGGCAGCGCAGTCGCCGTCGCAATTGTCGTACAGCCAGGTCGGTTCTGGGGTTGCGACGAGTGGTTATGTCCGCTTGGTGGGTACGGCAAAACTGCCGACGGCGGCGGTGGCGGCGAGGGAAAATGGCCGCGACGGCGGCGCGGCGGCAGCGGGTGTTGTACGGGAGGCCAGGGTTGATACGAGGCGGCGGAGCAGAAGCGTTCTCAAGGTTGGACCGGGGCCAAAGAGAAATACCCCGACGACAGCGCCTGCGGAAGAGGCGGCTACTGCTGCTGCTGCTACTGCTGACGGCGGCGACGCTGCAGAAACGCGGCTGTCGTACGGCGCCGCAGGATCCGCAGCGGCAGCGGCGGCGGAGGATGTTGACGTGAGCGACGGCGGCACTGCTGCTGCGGCAGGGGCGGTCGATGATGAGAAACGCTCCAGGGAAAAGCCCGCATATACCGCCGCTGCCGACGTGGCCGCCGCCGCCGCCGCGCCCGCCGCCGTCACCTCTGTCGACGATGTCAATGATAACGACGCGACCGCGATGTCGGCCACGCCAGCTCGTGGCACCCCTGCTGGCGGCGGTGGCGGTGGCACCAGCGGCGGCAGTAGTACCGCCGGCAGCAGCAGCTCTGAGACGGAGCCTGAGGAGCCGGCGGAGGCTGTAGCAATGGCGGCGGCGGAGCCTGGGGAAGGGGGAGGGGGAGTGCGCAGACCGAGCAGTAGCGGAATCCGCGATAGCGATGACGGAGATGCCGCTGGTGAAGCCGCTGCGGCGGCGCCCACGGACGCCGTTGGTACGGCACCTGCCGTCGTTGGCGGTGGTGGGTTAACCAGGGCGGCGGTGGCGGCGGGGCACCAGCACCAGCGGCAACAGGGTCGTACAGAGGCGGCGGAGGCGACTTGGACCGGTGTAGGGGAAGAGGAGGGTACCGCCCATGGCGGTGTGATGATGGTGGAAGAGGACGAGGAGGATGGTACGGCAGAGAGTACAGCCGAGAGTACGGAAGTTGAGGCGGCGGAAGCAGCAGCAGCAGCAAGAAAGGCGGGACAGGAAGATAATGTCGATGTCGATGTCGATGTCGATGTTGATGATGATGATGACAATGAGGCGGCGGCGGCGGGGGAGAGTGAGCTAGCTGGCGAGCTGCACATTCGCGACGGCGGTATGGGGCTGCTGTTGGCGCTAATTCCGGACTGTCAATGGCAGGGGGGAGGAGCTGCAGTAGATTTGAAAGTGCACGGCAAGCTCAACGCGCCACAGGTACGTACGACATGTACAGCATGTACGGAAACCACGAAATGTGCTTAGGATATGGCAGTTACGGCACACACGCGTCAATTTGTGTGTACCTGCTCGTACACATCTGTACGGCACCGGGGATGATGTACGAGCTAGTTGTATTCCTTGGGACACCCTGTATGTGTATGTGTATGTGTATGTGTATGTGTATGTGTATGTGTATGTGTATGTGTATGTGTATGTGTATGTGTATGTGTATGTGTACGTGTACGTGTATGTGTATGTGTATGTGTATGTGTATGTGTATGTGTATGTGTATGTGTATGTGTATGTGTATGTGTATGTGTATGTGTATGTGTATGTGTATGTGTATGTGTATGTGTATGTGTATGTGTATGTGTATGTGTATGTGCCTCTGTGTTATGTTGGTTGGGTATTTTGATGTTTTGGTGTTTTCACATTTGGTGGAACTTGGACTGGTGGTGGTGGTGGTATTCATTTCTCTGTCCCCCCCCCGCCCGCAGGTGGACGGTCGGGCCCGGGTAACCCGGGGGACTCTGCTGAGCCCGCTGCTGCGATACCCCGTCACAAACCTCAATGCTGACGTACAGGTAAGTACGGCACTGAAGTACAACCTTTCCTCAGATACTGAAGATCGTAGCGGTACCAGAATCCAGGATCCAGGAATGTCAGTCCACATAAGGCCCCACCCTAAGTGCCTTTCACGCATTTATTACCACTTGTTTACTTGGCGTACTTGTTTACAGTGTTGCTGCGACACTCCAAACAAATGATTTCACACAAAGTAAGCTGATTTTTGGAAGTCGCTGCTCTGCAAATTACCCCTCTTTTCCGGGGGCCATCCACACATCCACGATCCCGCGAGCACACACACACACACACACACACACAGACACACACGTGCTCTCGCCACCACTCCCTCCCTGCAGCGGCCTCACACACACAAACACGCACAGACACGCCTTCCCCTCGCCTTCGCGACCTTCCTGTCTAACCCCCGCTTTACCCCCCCCCTTCGCCCCCCCCCCGCCGCTCCAACAGTTTGATGGTCGTACACTGCTGGCCAATTCCGTTGAGGCCTCCCTGGGCAAGACCGGAAGCTTCCGTGTACGGGGAGCTCTGCCCGTACAGCTTCCCGTACACCATCGCCATCACCAATTGGGCGGCACCTCCGCTTCATCCTCCCCCACCCCAGTCGCCCCCGCGAATCCCCCCGCCAGCAGCAGTACGACAGAGGGTTTGCTGGTGGAAATTGACCAGGCGGAGGTTCGTGCCCGTGGTGTGTATAGCGGCATGGTGGATGGGCGGCTTGTCGTACGGCGGAGCGTGGCGCAACCCGTACTTGGGGGGAGGCTGAGATTCAGTCGCGGGGTGGCCTACCTGCTGCCCCAGCAGTCCGCCGCCGCCGCCGCCGCCTCCTCTTCAACTCCGTCCTCCTCAGCAGCGGACCGTTTGGACCGTTTGAATTCATCTTCCCCCAGAGGCAGTCGTACGGCAACAGGATCCGATTCCTCGTACGGCGCGCCCCCCTCTGGTTGGCGGCCTGGAGAGGTCAGAGGTCGGGAGGCTGAGGTTGTTCGTACATCCTTTGCGTTGCTGAAGGCGGGGCGGAAGAAGGGTGTTGTGGA